GTTTCTGCTGATACATTCATGAATCCAGTGCTGAATGGGAGGGAAAGAAATCCACGAATCTGGTAGTAATCTTATATGAAGTTGTTTAACAAATTGCTCAAGGAATACAACTTTGCGGAGCAGAGGTCCTTGTTTAAGAATTCGTTCTAGCTGACGTTAGGTGTCAGATTAACATCGAGGATTAATGAAATTAGCCTTTTATTATTGTGTAGCATGCTGAGGTGACTTACTAGATAAGAACCAAAGTACAAGCTTGGTTTTATAAGAGTCAAAACTCACCTATTCATCTTAACTACCAGGTTGTTACACATGCTTTCTTCATTGCCTACCTGACGTAGTCATTATTCATAGAAAATTGGCTGGGTTAAATGTGGTTGTTAAGCTTCCTGAGGAACTTGAATGAATGATTCATTAGTTCACATATTGGAAGTCAAGTTCTGTTCCAAGTGTAGCCTCTTTTGTTTTTGGCAGCTTCAACAAATCATACGGCATTAATCCAGTCTTTGCCAAGAAGACCTTTTTTGCAGGAGCTCATGCTTTTCCCCCATATAAAATTGGTATTGGGGCACCTGGGTGGCTTAGTCGGTTAAGTGTCTGACTTGATCTCAGCTCAGGTCTGGATCTCAGGGTTGTGAGTTCGAGTTCAAGCCCCACATTGGACTCCACGCTGGGTGTGGAGCCTACTTAAAAAAACAAATAATAAAATTGGTGTCAAGTTTTCATATTTCAGAAGTCTTGTTACTAGAGGCCTAGATAGAATAGAGGGACATAGGTGGAAGCAATTAACAACTATCACAAATTAAGGAAAATAAGAACCAATCCCCCCTCACTAGGATGAATTTTGGTACCCACTGACCAATGATTCAAACTTAAGATATTTTTTCAGAATTTTCTAAGTTGAGCATTTTTTCTGAACACAGAATCAACACGTGCCTATAGTGGGAAGTTTGAAAGCTATACAGAAGAAAATAACAAGTCATCCGTACTACAAACCCAAAGGCAAACACTTTTAATATATATATTTTTTGAGATTTTATTTGAGAGCGAGCACGCACAAGTAGGCAGAGGAGTGTCAGGCAGAGGGAGAAGCAGGCTCTCCGCTGAACAAGGAGCCCGATAGGGGACTCGATCCCAGGACACTGGGATCATGACCTGAGCCAAAGGCAGACACTTAACGGACTGAGCCACCCAGGCATCCCAGACAAGAATATTTCTTAAAATTGCTTTCAGTTATCTACACTTCACAGAGATTTAACCTAGTTCCAAAGATACAAAAAAAGATACAGAAGGGTGTACTATAGATAATGCAGTTTCTTTGAAAAACAAAATTTCCCCTATATAAATAATGTTATAGGTGGAAGTTGTCCCCTTAAAATTCATATGTTGAGGGGCGCCTGGGTGGCTCAGTTGGTTAAGCGACTGCCTTCGGCTCAGGTCATGATCCTGGAGTCCCTGGATCGAGTCCCGCATCAGGCTCCCTGCTAAGCGAGGAGCCTGCTTTTCCCTCTAACCCTCTCATGTACTCTCTCTCATTCTCGCTCTCTCAAATAAATGAATAAATCTTTAAAAAAAAAATTCATATGTTGAAGCTCTAAGCCCCAAAGTGATGGTATTTGGAGGTGGAACTTAGGGAGTTAATTAGGTTTAGACGTGGTCATGGGGGTGGAGCCCTCATGAAGAGATTAGTATCTTTTTTGTGTCAGTGGTTCTTTTTTTATATATATTTAAATTCAGTTAATTAACTTATAGTTAATTATTAGTTTCAGAGGTAGAGGTCAGTGATTCAGAAGTCTTAATATAACACCCAGTGCTCATTATATCACATGCCCTCCTTAATGTCCATTAATGTCAAGAAATGGACAGAAGACATGAACAGACATTTCTCCAAAAAACCAAAAAATGAGTAGACCTAGACCTATTTTTAAAGGGAGGGTGCTTATAGTTGGCTAAAGCTGAAGAGAAAGCTCCTGGGTTTAGGGTTTGTCCCCCCACCCCCCTTCTTTCTTCTAACTGTATATTTCTGTTGGATAAACAAATTTCCTGCAATCAAAATAGCATTTCATGATGATGTGCACATCTCGTACTTCAGATTTAAAGCCTTAAATTTATACGTATTTCCCTTTGGCAGGTAAACACGCTAAATAAAGAACTGCAGTCAGAGTTTGTGGAAGTAATGAATGAAATCTGGGCTAGTGATCAAATCAGAAGTGCTGTCCTTATCTCATCAAAGCCCGGCTGCTTTATTGCAGGTGCTGACATCAGGTAAGTTTTCAAAAATCAAAGTCACCTTTCATCTTGGCTAATAGTATGTTTCTTAGGCCTAATCATTCCTTCTCTTAAAAGAAAGTAGAAGTAAATGCTCTGAAAGTTTTCTTTTTTTAAGTTATTTTCACAAGTGTAATAAAGTTGATAGAAGAAGAGGGGCTTGTTACTTAAACCACCTAAGACTAACCTTCCCTTGTAGAAGTCACAAGCAATTCTAAGACTATTTGAGTAGAATAAAAAACACTATAAAATTAAACTAACAGTGAGTGCCCCCCCTTTTTTTTTTAACCCAACAGACCAAAAAATATTTTAAAAGTTTGAAAATACCGTGTTAGCAAGGACTTGGAGAAATAAGAAGGTTAATATATTACTAGTAGGAATGCCAATTGCTACAGCAACTTTGGAAAACATTTTGGCAGCCTTTAGTAAAATTGGAAAATGCATGTATCATATAATTCAGGGATACGTCGTCTAGCTATATATATATATATGCTAAAGAAATCCCACCCTTTGTTTTTAAGGATGCATGTATAAGGATGTTCAGCCCTGTGTAGTTTAAAATAATGAAGAATTTGAAGCAATTAAATGTCAGTCATTAGGGAAATGGAAAAGTAAACTGTGGAACTTTCATGTGATAAAATACTACAAAACAGTTCCAAGGAATTAACTAGATCCACAACATAATGTTAGAGCTCAAAAACATAATGTTAAGTTTAAAAAAAAAAGCAAGTTGTAGAACATTCTGTACAGTATGTAGTTTATGTAAACATTTTTAAATCCTAGCGAAATGCCTCTTTCTTATTTATAGATACAAATATGCAGTTGCTCTAGAAGGATACACTACAAATATTTGAGAATGGTTGCTTCAGGGTAAATGAGGTGGCTGGTAGGACTCTATGAGATTGTCAAAGGGAACTTTAGTGATGCAGCTAATATTTTCTTTTTTTAAATGGTAGGATTTATACGTATATAACTTGTTTACAGTTCTTTAAAGCATTTATAAGGAGGTGAAATGCTATCATAATGTAAGTTTAATGGGCTAAAATGTTAACGGTTGTTAATTCTGTCAAAATACGAGTATTTGTTATATTATTCTTTTCCCTTAGGCAATGATAGCTAGCATTATAGGCTTAGTAATTTGTACTTAAGGTGTTTGTATAGTTTTAAACCTTGCTCCACATTGTGTACTTTTTTGCTTATGAATAGTAATTAGGAATTTATAAATATTTAATGTTTATTTTTTAGAAAAAAACAAAATTATCTGTATCAAGTGCTTTTTCTTCTAGCTCAGTTATTTGAGCCTAGTGAGACACTGATGTCCCTGGCAATAGCTTCCTATAACCAGAGGAAAATACTTGCAGCTTCTATGAGGCTAGCTGAGCAACTCCCAGTATGTAAAATGCCAAAAACTAGTTATCTTTGGTCAAAGGTACAAAATCCACAGCTTGAATGTGTTCAAGAACAAAGTAGCAAATGAAACAAACTGAAACTAAAGGACATTAAGTACAACATTACTGAGTGGATCTTTTATACTCATTAGGAGATCTATAAACAACTTGAAAGCTTTTTTTTTTACTGTTATTTTGATTGCTGTTCAATCTGGGAGTTACTTGATAGTGAACATGGTTAATGTGATAGTGAAAATATTTACCCAAAGATGATTTTCTCATGTACAGAGAGCTTTGTAAGCTAATGGGTTTTTATAGAAAATAAAATTACACGTTTTGTTTCATGTTCTCTGGATCCAGAAATCTAACACTCTTTATGGAGAGATGATGTTGCTGATATTAGTTCTGTCTGAGGCAAAACCATTCTTAAACTTCTGAGTATTTGAAGATTCACTATCAAATACTGGTAGATGGTAGGGTAAGGATATAGTGGATGAGGTATTGAACAAAGTAGGGGATAATTTCATTTTTGTTTTTTATTTTCTCTTCTCTGCTTTCATGTTTACTGCAGCATGTTAGCCTCTTGCAAGACCCCTGAAGAGGTAACACAAATATCACAGGAAGGACAGAGAATGTTTGAGAAACTTGAGAAGTCCACAAAGCCTATTGTGGCTGCCATCAGTGGAACCTGCTTAGGAGGAGGACTTGAGGTATAGACTTCTTCCAAAGTCATTGAGACACTATCCAGCATATTGATGGGAATTACAGGCTGCAAACCCGTAGACTATGGTTTTGCCTGCAAAAAGTTCTTGGAGGAGAATCCGATTTCTTTTTGGTTGTCAAACTTCTGGATAGGTTTCAATCCTTATTTCATGGCACAGAGCAAGTAAACCAAAGTGTGATGTTTTCATTTTTATAAATTGAGAAGATTTGAACTAGATCTCCAAGGTCTTCTTCGATTCCAAAAACCTGGTTCAAGTTTACAGGGCAAAGATTCAGAAGTGTGATCCATGCTCTTGAGCTACTTAAGTCTGGATAATATGCATTTAAGTGCTTTGTGAGCAGTAAAGATAGTGAATAATGCAAGATTTGAGAGAAGAGATGCTTATTAGACTGGAGCATGTAGGAAAGGAGAGGGGAAAATAAGATAACATTTAATGAGCATTTATCACATGCTGAGCTCTATGCTAGACACTTTCACATATATTAATTAAGGAAACCCATGCCTGGTGCTAAAAGATTGGCAGAAATTGATTAATCAGAAAATAGTGGGGAAAAAATCATTTCACATATGGCATGGTATGGAGCAGACAAGGGTAAGCAAAGCCTATTAGATCACCGTAAGTAGGCCTGCTTGATTGAAAAGGAGGGTCTCTGTAGGGTACAGGACTTCTTAACTTGGCATGTAATATACAATGGTGTGTGCATTTTTCTATTTCAAGCTTCCATAGCTTTCAGCAGATTTTTAAGGAGATCCAGAACCCCAAAAAGGTTAATTAGAGGGAAAGTATGAAATACGGCTGGAAAGGTAAATTGTAGAAAGCATCAAATACATTCCTGCTTTACAAGTAATCTTTAGACCCTCACATATCTTAAGATATTATAAAGTTACATTTCCTAACATTCTGGTTTTCTTTCATTTGTTTGAAGCTTGCCATTTCCTGCCAATATAGAATAGCAACCAAAGATAGAAAAACAGTATTAGGTACCCCTGAAGTCTTGCTGGGCATCTTACCAGGAGCAGGAGGCACACAAAGGCTGCCCAGAATGGTGAGTTTAAGCCCCCTGTGACCTTTACAACCTCAGTACCTATAGGCCCCTTTACTTGTTTTTTGTTTTTGTTTTTTTTTCCTTGCAGTCTTTGGTTTATTTAGGTTTGTATCGGGGAAAAAAAGCACAAACAGTTTATTTTTAGAGCAAAGATTAATTAAGAGTTAAGTTGTAGTGATGAAAAGAGCTCCTCTTATAATATTTAAAATGTCTTAAAATTTCAAATGATGGGGAAAGTTGGATAGGAAAGGTGAGTATGCTAAAATTGTCATCCTGTGTAAGAGGAGATAATTGTATTCAAGTTCACAGGGATAACAAATCTCTTCTTCACATATTCTCTAGTTTTGGCTATCATACAATTTTCTAGACTAAGTTGCTATTTTGAGAACACATGAAAATACATAGTATAGGGGCACCTGGGTGGCTCAGTCTTGTTAAGCGTCTGCCTTCGGCTCGGGTCATGATCCCGGGGTCCTGGGATCGAGCCCCGCATCGTGCGCCCTGCTCGGTGGGGGAAGCCTGCTTCTCCCTCTCCCACTCCCCCTGCTTGTGTTCCTGCTCTCACTATCTGCTGTCTCTCTCTCTGTCAAATAAATAAGTAAAATCTTTAAAATACATAGTATAGAATTGGAGATTCAAATAGAACACAGACCTATTTGTTAAGCAAGAGAAATGTAACCTTATTTAAATTATGCTCACCTTTACTGAAGACAGAGTTCTTTTAAGACATCTGATTCCAGGGTGCCTGGGTGGCTCAGTTAAAGCGTCTGCCTTCAGCTCAGGTTCATGATCCCGGCGTCCTGGGATCGACCCCGCATCGGGCTCCCTGCTCAGCGGGAAGCCTGCTTCTCCCTCTCCCACTCCCCCTGCTTGTGTTCCCTCTCTCACTGTGTCTCTCTCTGTCAAATAAATAAAATCTTAAAAAGACATCTGATTCCATCTTATCTTAGATCTTTAGTCTACTAAAACTGTCTTGGGTACTTAACATAAAAATATGAATTGCTCTTGTAATTCTTTTTTCTTTTTTTTTAAGAGCATGAGCTGGGGGGAGGAGGCAGGAGGAGAGAGAGAAGCAGCCTCCCTGCTGAGCAGGAAGACAAACACAGGGCTCCATCCCAGGACCCTGAGATCATGGCGTGAGCCGAAGGCAGACGCCTAACCAAATGAGCCACCTAGGCGCCCCATGCTCTTGTAATTCTTTATACAATCACAGGAACATTAAGAGTTGAATCAGTATTTCTTTCCTTTTTTTTTTTCTAAGATTTTATTTATTTGACAGAGAGAGAGAGATAGCGAGAGCAGGAACACAAGCAGGGGGAGTGGGAGAGGGAGAAGCAGGCTTCCCACAGAGCAGGGAGCCCAATGTGGAACTCGATCCCAGGACCCTAGGATAATGACCTGAGCCGAAGGCAGACACTTAACGACTGAGCCACCCAGGCACCCTAAGAGTTGAATCAGTATTTCACATAAGACGTTTTCCAGGGAGCAGGAACTGAAAAGTCAGTGTGGGAAATGATCCTCACATTGTATTAAAAGACACAATGACTTTACTTTTCTACAAAAGAGAAAAAAATGTAAATGCAATGTTTCTTTTTTTATTATTTAAATTCAATTAATTAACGTATGATGTATTACTAGTTTCAAAGGTAGAGTTCCGTGGTAATCAGTCTTACCCCATAACACCCAGTGCTCATTACATCACATGCCCCTTTAGATCTATTTCCTCTGATACAAAAGGCATAATATGGGTATAATATGGGTATTCATTGTAGAATTTAGAAACAAGATAAAATATGGGTATATAGGATCAGTAATAAATTTTATTACTGGTGTTTATTTTCTTAATTCCACATTTTTTAATTCATTGATCAAAATTAATTTTTTAAAGATTTTATTTCTTTATTTAAAGAGAGAGAGCACATGCATGAGCAGGGGGGAGGGGCAGAGGAAGAAGGAGGGAGAGAATCTCAGGCAGACTCCATGCTGAGCAGAGCCCGATTCCTCGACCCTGGGATCATGACCTGAGCTGAAATCAAGAGTTGGATGCTTAACCGACTGAGCCACCCAGGCACCCCAAGTCCTTGATCAAAATTACTGATCAAGGTCCATTATTAATCCCTGAAGAAGTATAAAGATAAATAAGGTACATGTTTGCCTTTCTGGAACTTACAGTTTATTTTTTTAACGATTTTATTTTTAAGTAATCTATACACCCAGCGTTGGGCTTGAACTTACAACCCTAAGATTCAAGAGTTGCATGCATTACCAACTGAACCAGTCAGGTGCCCCTTGAACTTATGGTTTAATTTGTTCCTTCTGTGCACAGTACCATCTTACCAGTTTTTCAAATCCATGGATCATATTTCATGATAAATATAAGAGGCAGATCTTTCTCCTTTTTGGATGATCTCATTGCTGTATTCTGTAGAACCAAAAGAGGCCAATTAGGCCTTTGAATTCATGAGGAGAGGAGAACAGTCTGGAGGCTGCAGAGCAGTCTTAACATCCCACTAAACCCTGTAGCTTCAGGCACTATTGATTCCTCAGTGAAAACAAGGCTCAGCAGAAACACTCTTTGGAGGGAAGTTGATATAAGCTGGGCACAGAAAAATAGGAAGATTTATGGTGTTAGTTTTCTGATAATAAATAGTGTGCATTCCTTCATAGAAATTGTCAAGAGGATTTATTGAAAGAATAAATAAGCCTATATGGGTGTAGAAAATATTGCTGGGTTTCTTTCATTGTTTTGTATTAGTTGGTATTTAAATGTTGCTAGAAACCATTCTTCTAGTGCCTACATAAGAAGCTCTTAGTTCTATTTTTTTAATTAATTTATTTATTTGACAGAGAGAGACCGTGAGAGCAGGAACACAAGCAGGGGGTAGTGGGAGAGGGAGAAGCAGGCTTCCCGCCAAACAGGGAGCCAGATGTGGGGCTCCGTCCCAGGACCCCGGGATCATGACCTGAGCTGAAGGCAGACGCTTAATGACTGAGCCACCCAGGCTCCCCAAGCTGAGTTCCATTTTTAAACCTAAAATTCTTTTTAAAAACATTGTTGGGCACCTGGGTGGCTGAGTCAGTTAAGTGTCTGGCTCCTCAGGTCATGGTCTCAGGGTCCTCAGATCGAGGCGCACTGCTCCCCTACTCCCGCCCCCCCCCCAGGCTCTCCCTCTCTCTCAAATAAAGAAATAAATCTTTTTTAAAAATTAAAAATAAATTGCTCTTTGTGCGCAGGTCTGGTTGCCTCGGGCTGTGGGAATGCTGCGGTGCCCCTGGGGGCTCCTGCAGCTCCCTCCCCTACACCAGGGGAGGCCCCAGGGTCCTCAGCTGTCTTTGCATGGCTTCCTGCGTGTAGGCCCCTGGTCCTCGCAGGCTGGTCCGCAGCGCCCCGAGGGTGTCTTAAGAGCCCGCCGGTGTGTTGTGTTACTGTTGGATAACGCACGATTATTCTGGAAGCCTAGCTAGGGTGGTGCCCTTTCAGATTAGGCACCGATCTGGTAGCTGAAGGGCTGAAGTTTGGAATTCGCCCTCTGGGAGAGATGCTGTGGAGAGATATCTGTGATGCCTAGGTAATGGCTCCTGCCACTTGAACCT